AGAGGAGTAAACTGGCTGGTGTGCTGTACACTATGCTGAGCCCAACTTTGAATCCTCTGATCTATACCCTAAGGAACAAGGAGGTCAAAATGGCCCTTGGGAAGCTCTTTCCATTCTTTAGAAATTAAGTAGGGATTTTCCAGCCACTTCCTATTGGGTAGAGGTATGGTATACGCCTATTTATGCCTGTAGTTGAGAAAATTCAACTTTTTAAAATGGCCAGCATTGGCACTATCCTTTGATGCTTACCATGATCTTATATATTTGGGGTTACAAGGCTCAGATTTATGGGGTTATTGATTTTCTTTTAAACATTATTTCAATTCGAAATATCTGCTACCAGCATCATATTTTTACCTGTTACATATTAGCCCTTTAAAAACATTAAGAGAAATAAAAAAGTATTCTTCTGGGTTACATTTAGCTTTTATTCTCAGTATTTATATGTCATCTATCTATCTGGTATCTATCTAATCATCTGTCTATCTATCTGTCTATCTATCTATCTATCTATCTATCTATCTGAAAGGAAGCATGACATCCTTGACAGAGACTTGATTTTATCTTGGGGTCAAAAACCTAGGCTTAATTCTAGTCTCTTACACATACTGGCTCATAATAAAGTCTTAACCTCTTAGTACTCCAGTGTTACTGCCATGCCCGGATGAGGCAACAGGGCAAGACTCAAAAGGGGCTTGATCCTTAGTCATTAGCCTTTAATTGAATCCTGGATTTATCATCACACTGGGGTAAAGCATATTATCTTAAACTCCTTGTGGAATTAGACATTCCTCCCATGGTTGCACTGGCTTCAGCACTAGGATTTTGGGTGTTGTCAAGCTCATCGTGTTCAAAGCACTGGAGTCTGGGTTTTCTCTAGACTAGGGATTCTTAACCATTTTTTTTGCATTTTGGATCTCTGTTACTGTTATGTAGAATTTATAAACATACTCTCAGAATAATGTTGTTAGATGCATAAAATAAAATGAAAAAAATTATATTGATGTGCAGTTTTAATAATATTAAAAATAATAAGATTATCTTATCATTATTAATTAAAATTATATGCAAACAGAAATATTAAATGTAACAAGTTTACCAACCAGGATAAGGAGTACTGCTCCTGGTTCTGATTTTCCTTCTTTTTAACAATATTTAAAATATATTTTTCAACTTTATTGAGTGTAATGATGGGTGTATTGATAGGATCAAGCTAAGAAAAGTGACTCGGTGTTTGACCACTGAGTTAATCAGCATGTCTAGTGAGAAGTTCCTATGTACCCTATAATTGGCTTGAGTTATGAAAGTAAGGCTAGTAATCTATCAGCTTAGCAAAGTTCATTTAGTCCAGGTATGCAAATTTAGGAAACTTTTCTTATAACAGTGCCCTTATGGTTGAGAAGGAGGAGTCACAGTCCAGACTTCCTGCTGATTGATTGCCCCTAAGGTCATCCTCTCCCTCAGTCCCTGTGAATGTGCCCAGCAACAACAATTGAATAAAAGGGCAGAGACATAGGAAGTTCTGGGCTCTTCCTCTGGGTTCCCATTCCACACTGTGCCCAAACCACCAATCTTTCATGTGCCTAAAAGACTGTAGAGCTAGGGATCCCTGTGGCTGCATACATATGAGGAATAAATTGTCTAACTCATGATCCTTTCAGTGTTTTTATTTTTTCTTGGCTTATTCATGATGTCACATCAAGAAAAAAAAAAACTATATTTGCCCTACTAAATTCTCCAAACTAACTCCATTTCTCTTTTTCCTTCATAGAAGAAAAGCCAGTAAAGAAAACCAATGAACATAATGGGTTCTTCATCTAAGTCAATAGCAAGAGTCCCTGTTATGACCCTTTACCATTCATTTTTTCTCCCTTGCACGGAGAAACTCAATGCAGTTGCTCCTAATCAAACAAAATTTCCCCCTGATTTTGCATATATATAGGGTCATATCAGCAGTTAGTTAGTAGTTCATTTTTTAGTTCTTGAGATTTTTAACAGGGTCATAGTTTTTTTCTCTAACAAATATCTATCTAGATCAGAATATAACACTGTTTTCCCTTCATAATTCTGAGACATTTGATTTTTCTCATCAAAGATGTCATTGTGGTGCAGTGAACAGGACGTTGGTGAAGTCATCAAATGACCCAGGAGTATATCTTGGCAGTTTGATTTTTGACTCTGCACAAGTGGCCTAACTACTCTTGGCTTCAGTTTCCTCACTTGTACAATGAGAGAGTGGACACAAAATCATCTTGGATATTTTCTCTGTTGAACTGTATTAGAAGAAGGGAGACCATCTGTCTATTCTCCTGAGCCTTGGTTGAAATGGATTCTTCCTCTTGAGTAGACCCTTTATCCTAGGAGCCAAGCTCCTTAGAGCACAAAGCTATCCTAAATAACTACAGTTAGATTCTGATTGGTGAAAATAAAAATTCTCTATGAAAGTGGTTGCATTATGCAGGTTTATATTGCTCACACTAATCAGGTCTTCTACCTTAATCCTATGTTTTGAACTGTATGTTCTGGTCACCAAGGGCATTGTCCTTCTCAGGTATTTCTCTCTGACTTGAGTTCAGAAAATTCAGGGACTTGCTTTTTAACTTATCGAATTATTATCAAATATCTTGGTTTTGAAATAATTGTGTTCTTCTGCTGACCAGTAAAGATAAATGCATTGTATATGTGGGGAAAGAGAAGGGGAGAGGCTCACAAATTATGGCTTTGAGTGGAAGCAGATCCCCAGAGTATTTTGGTCCTGGAGTTACCTTTACTGGGGGACTGATTCTGTGAGTCAGGAGGTGCCTTCAGATTCTGCACATCAAGAGTCTTCATTACATTGAATTGATTGCACTTGGGCACATCACATGTTTTCACTTGTTTTTCTAGAAGAGACTTTATATGGAGGCTTTGAACATAATTTTGGAGTCTACAATCTTGTCTGTATGAAAACCCTATGGCAAGTCAGTGGAAAAGATGAGAAAGAAGAGCAGGAAATAAACTTGCCCTCAAGAAATTTCTAATCAAATGGAGAAGCAAGCTCAGAAACAATGGCATGGTGAGGGAGCAAGTTTGTGTGTAAGCTCACGCTAACACATTTAATTCAGGTTCTGCATGTATCAAACTATAATAATTCCTCAAACTCATGAAGTACCTTAGGATTGACAAAGAGCTTTCCTCCCACCAACATTGTGAGGTAGGTAGTCCAAGTATCATGATCTCCATTTTGATGATGATGAATAATAATAGCTATAATAAGTGAAATTGAGATGGAACTTTTACATTTGTAAAGTAGGGTGTATAGACTGCCCCATTTAATGATCACAATAATTTTGTGTGGTAAGAACTGTGAGTATCATTATCCTCATTGAACAGAAGGGGGAATTGAGGATTCAAGAGTTTAAATGAATGCACTATGTTCAGATACCTATTATGTGCCAGAAGTAGGATAAGAACGTCTTTTCTTTTCTGTTGAACTTTAAATGATAGTTTCTTTTTTTCATGAAGGAACAAATTAAGATTATATATGGGATACAGGTGTAGTTCAGAATATTCATGATATAATGGGAAATGAGACCACTTAAGAAAAGAGAGGAGAATAGGAGAAAAGAGGAAAGAAGACGAGGAGGAAGAGAGAGACAGAGAGACAGAGGAAGGGAGCAAGGTAGAGAGAGACACAGGGACAGAAAGAGAGAGATAAGGAGAACAAAATATTTTACCTGTCAATTTATAGAAAAAGAAAGAATTAATGATCAAACAAGAGATAGAAAGCATTATGGGATGTAAAATTGATAATTTTGATTTCATCAAATTAAAGAAGTTTTTTGCACAGACAAAACCAATCCAGCCACGATTAGAAGGAAAGCAAAAAAACTGGGGGGGGGGGATTTACAGCAAGTTTGTTTAATAAAGGCCCCATTTCTGAAATATACAGGAAACTGAGCCAAATTTACAAGAATATGAGTCATTTTTCAATTGATAAATGGCCAAAATTGTCTGATATGAACAGATAGTTTTCAGAAGAAGATATCAAAGCTATGTACAGTCATATTTAAAAATACTCTAAATCACTGTTGATTCAAGAAATGCAAATTAAAATAACTGAGGTACCACATTTCACCTATCATATTAGCTAATATGTCGGGAAAGAAAAATGGCAAATGTTGGAGGGGATATGGAAAAATTGAGACACTAATCACTGTTGGTTGAGTTTTTAACTGATCCAACCATTCTGGAAAGCAATTTGGAACTATGCCCAAAAGGCTATAAAACTGTGCATACTCTTTGACCTAGCAATACTGCCACTGAGTCTGTATCCCAAAGAGATCAAAGAAAAAGGAAAAAAAGACCTGTATGCACAAAAATATTCATAGAAATTCTTTTAGTGGTGGCAAAGAATTAGGAACTGAGTTGATGCCCATAATTAGGAAATAGCTGAACAAGTTGTGGTATATCATTGTGATGGAATACTATTTTGCTATAAGAAATGATGAGCAGGATGATTTCAGAAAAACCTGGGAAGACTTATATGAACTGATGCAAAGTGAAATGAGCAGAACCAGAACACTGTACATATAATAGCCATATTGTTTGATGATCAACTGTGAAAGATATTTATTGACAGAAAAGCAATGATCTACACAATTCTGAAGAGCTTATGATGAAAAATGCTATCCACATCCAGAGAAAGAACTGATAGAGTTTGAATGCAGGTTGAAGCATACTTTTTAAACTTTATTATTCTAGGTTTTTTTGTCTGTGTTTTCTTTTATAACATGGCTAATAAGGAAATGTTTTGTATGACTGCACATGTATAATTCATGGTAAATTGCTTGCCTTCCCAAGGAGGGGCAAGCAAGATGGAAAATTTGGAACTCCAAATTTCAAAAAGTAAATATTAAAATATTTTATTTACATGCAATTGAGAAAAAAGCAAATAAAAAAAAAAGTCCCATGCCTATACAAGCATGGAAAACTCAACCTTGTGTAAAGTTCAGGAAAAGTTGTTAACTGGCTGCTTTGTCACCCAGTCCTCAATTTTGCATTATAGATCCAGTGCAGACTGAGAAATTTTTCTGTGGTATTCTGGGATATGGCACTGTACTATTCCCTATATGATGTACCTAGAAAT